GCATGTGACGGGTGGGAGCGGCGCGGGAGAAAATTCACCGTTTCAGCGCGCGATATACTCCCCAAGAAAAGGAAGTACTTGAAATATGGGTAAAATATAAGGAAATTGCAGGGAAATGTAGGGAATTTTTGCGGTTTTATGGGAAGCAGGGTGAATAACGGTCGAGGAAATCCTCGACCATAGCTCTCTACCATGCGAGAGTAGTGCCGAGAGTGATGGCGAGTGTGAATTTGAAGAAGAGAGATCGAGATCGTAAGATTTGAAGAGAGATCGTCTCTGATCGGGCAGAGAATCCTCGACGTGCCGTTGAGGAATCCTCAAGCGATATTCACCCTTCTCCCTACCCTGTAATGCGCGCGATAGCGGGCGGAGCAAACCTGGTGTTTTCATGAAACACCGCTTTTATAGAGAACACTCCGCTCACCGGAGGTTGGTCGCGGAATGAGTGTGGTGGATTTTTTTGAAAATCTCGGGGACAGTACAGCTCATTTCGACAGAGGCCACGCCCACTGTGGACGGCTCTGCTTAGCTGTGTGCGTTTTGTATCGCGACACCTTACCCACCCAACCCACACTTGACCCGGTCTCTCCAGGCGGATCTCCAGGAGCCGGGGAATTTCGTGACAGACATACAGAACGACAGACGACAGGCGATGCGCTCATAGTAAGTAGGATATTATTTGACTGTGTTATTTCCCTTGCAATGATGAACAGAGGCTGCAATTTAGAAATTCCTTTGTATGAGATTGCATGGTCGAGTATAGAGTGGCACTATTACGATATACAGTGGATCTCTAATACGAAGAGTAATTTTGAAATCGCAATGGCACAGCGTGTAATCCTCGTCCTGCAACATCACATCAAATCCCATCACAAAGCTCGAAATTCTACGATTGATTCGTGGTGCACCGTCATTCAAAAATAATTCAAAGTCATTTCAGGTTCTTCATTGGTCTCGGAGCCGGTACAGTGGGCGTGATGCGTGCTTACGCTTCCACGGCCAGCAGTCTGAAAGATCGCACTCGTGCTATAACATTTATACAGGCTAGCTACGTTATAGGAATGACGATTGGACCTGCAATTCCGGTAAAACGCTCTCCTTTGAGCAGTTTTTTTATTGATTCAGTCACACTGAATTTACTATTTCATGCTTCACTAAATGCAAGAAGTAAAGAGTTCTGGTTTGCAGGTTGTTTTCGCTCCGATCAAATTTCCTGGCGTTCAGCTCGGTCCTCTTCATTTGAACATGTACACTGCACCTGCTTGGTTCGCTACGCTTATCTGCATTCTGTCAGTGGTTTCGCTTGTCATTTTTCTTGAAGAACGCTATGCTGGTATACTAGAAACTGATGATGCTGACGGTGAGCGACGATCTCTTTTATACAGGGTGGCTACAAATTACGTAATAAAATAAAGTAACTACATGAAATCTGAACAACTCAAAAAACCAAGTGGAAAATAAAATTATATTCATCCAAACTTAATAAACCACATTACTTTCCCAACTATATGCTATGAAAAAGGGGCGAAGCCTTCAGGGGAATGAGCTGTCTGCGGCGTACAGATAGATGACCTCGAATGCAATCCAGGCATCATGAGGGGTGTTCCTGCATCGACTTTTCATTATGCTACCAGCAGATGTTCACTACACCCCTACATAGTAGTTTATCTGAATGATGATTAAAAGAATAAGTTGTTACTGTCAGGATGCAATGATCCTTTGCAATTTGAATGGCTAGAACTTAGCGCACATTTGGTCGTGCAGGGTTTTTCGGAACCTTGAATATTGTTGTGGTTTCCTCTGAGGCTTCTAAGTTTCATGTGTTTTTTGGGTCCAAGAAAGAGTAAGATAGTACTGCTTCATGCATTGTGGAACGGAGTCGAGGATAACCTGATCTGCGGTGTCATCGCCGCAAAACTTTCTTTCTTCCGGATTCTACAATGTTTGACATATTTGGGCTTATAGAAGTATTGCTCTGGCCCAGTATCTTTTTCGAAAATAGCTCGACTGTGGATAACTTTTCTTCACTAGGAAAAATCGGCATTAAGGATTGAGGCAAGTTCACGCCCAGTAGCGCTTTCTTCTCACTTTAGTCGCACTGCTATTTGAGAGCTGGGTTTCACTTTTGGCGATTAACTGCCAGTAGGTGTTTCCGATCGCTAGCACGGTAAACAAAGGACGCATTGAATGTGCTAAAGTCCACAGCAGCTTCGCTTTTACTTTCTTTACACTGTTTTCTTCGTAGTAACACGAGCAGCTATTAACTCACCTTGAGCCAATCATTCCTGGTACCATATTCGTAATGGTGACTGCTGGCGGCAGCAAGACTTATGAATGAATTTAGAACTCAAATACGTAAAAACCACACCTGAAACTTCATCGATTCGTTTTAAATGTGTGTGCGGCACGCTCTTGTTAGCGTAATTTGTAGCCATACAGTGTTAAAAACAGTAAATATAGATACAACAGGCCTTTATGCAGGTAGTGGTGATGCAAAACGACAACTTGCATGGAATAAGGGTTATGCCATTTTCACTTACAAAATCTTATCAAATTAAATGAATGAGGTGAATTACACAAGGAGCCTATAACGTCCCGAAAGACTACAGGAATAGGGTTCTATGCCGTCACCTACTTGGATGCATGACATTAGTTTGATATTATTCGTGTCTTGAAGATTGGTTGTATAACAGACTTTTGCAACTTCTGCAAATTCTGCAAGATTTGTAAATTGACAGAATTTTTGTAAGTTTGACATGTTTAATTGAATGGTAGTGAGAACCCAACGTGAGGTCCCCTACTTTATTTGTTGCGCAAGACTTGCCCTTATTATAGTAAATATAACATATGCATGCAGAAGCTAGGTACCATTTGTTCCACAGCTATAGCTTCTACATATTTACAGATAGCTAGGGTAGCTTTGATAGAAGGGGAATATATATCACACACTGAGCAACTGCAGTAACATGGCGTTATTTTGCTGCAACGTTGACAATTTAGATGACCTTTTTGGTTCCTTCTTCGACATTTTGGTTGAAATAAAGCAATACTGTCTAAATAGGAAAAAAGTCTCATTTTGAAACCCTACGTTAGCAATTCAATCTCTACGCACAAAAAATTATGGCGTTCGAGAGCTGTTTCAGTCGACTGCAATCTACTCCCAAAATTCGACGTAGTTGCCGTCTCCGTCTGTGTGATCACGCAATTCACTCTCATGTTTATCATTTCGAATCTGGAAACGTGAGTTTTTTTCTTATTGCAGGCGGACTCTGCTGCTTGTTTGGCTTCCGAAGACCTGCTCACAGAAAGTATTCAATGGTTGCTTCAGTGCATATACAGTGCGTTTCATAACTATAAGGTCACCCTAAAATATTGCATTTCCGGGAGCAGCAGCCAACTGGTGATTTTTCCACTATCATCAAATGATTCCCCACTACGAATAACCCCTGTATCGCAATTTTGGTGGGAGCAGCTTTTCTTCGAACTTTTTTGTAATTATTTTTCGATTTTTGCACCGTTTCATAATATAAGTTCATCCTGAGGAAAAGAACAATTACCTAAACAGATAAAATGGACATAATAATGTATGGTTCCTCCTTTATCAAGGGCAACGTTGAATAGTCTCCGTGGCCTACCGGAATTGAGATTCCAGGGCAGATCGCCATCGATTCACTTCCGTGTTCAAGGGTTGCTTGTACACGCTCTTGTGTAATTTTTGACTGCGGTTTATCCGCAATATTACTCATGAAAAAGATGCCCCTGCGATGTTCTACTAGAATACGTCGAGAATTTCAGAAAAAATTGTTCAGTTCACCAGGGTTTCGAGAGAAATGTTGCTTGTGGTTGAATGACCTACATGGATACCTGTACTGTTCTGTATGACCACGTTGGCTAGCCGACTTCATCAGCTCAAGGAAGAGGTCAGATGCCCTCGCAAGGCTTTATGCTAATCTTTGGAGTCCATTATGCAGTTTAAGGAAGCGAAATTTTGACACAACATCTCACAACTCCCACACCTTTCACATATCCTTGACTAAAATTGCAAGCGCTGAAGTGAATCGGCCACCTTCGCAAATCACTTCAGAAGTGTTTATGTTCGCAGGATCTGTTTGTATAAGCAGTTTTGTCCAAAAAATACCATTTTCACTGGAATTATCTTGCTATATGGTGCGACTGTGGAGCAGACTCACCCTAGTACAAACTCTCTTCAAGTTCAACTTTACGGGTTGAAGTTGTGCCACTTTGGAATGGCCACTGAGCCTTCAGACCATCTTTGCCTTCCTGGTAATGTTGTTGCATAATTTCACCGCACTCCAGTCCATATTTTTCAAGATAGAGACCTTAAACCAGTCACAACGCCGATATGAAGCGGAAATACTGCACGGGACAGCCCTCAGAATTCTTCTCTAATCATTTATAGAAACCATTTTGTAAAGTTCTGATATTGTAGAATATCTGGAAACGTAGGATCTTTTCAATTATCCATGAGCAGTGCTAATGACTGTTCGAAGTTCTCTGGAAATCGCGAACCGTGCCAAGCACCATGAAATGCATAAACTTCACCTTTTCTTCAAAAAGCGAGTACGAAACATTTCATGAATTTAGCTACTTGGTGTGTTTGTAACAAACATTAAATTTCACAGGCAGGCTGGTTGTTTCCGATAGTATTCATTTTCACAGGGTGACCTTATATTATGAAACGGTGCAAAAATCGGAAAGTAATTACAAAAAAGTTCGAAGAAAAGCTGCTCCCACCAAAATTGCGATACAGGGGTTAATCGTAGTGGGGAATCATTTGGTGATAGTTAGAAAATCACCAGTTGGCTGTTGGTCTTGGAAATGCAATATTTTAGGGTGACCTTCGCTATAGTTATGAAACGCACCGTAGTTAAGAGCAGTGGACAGTTTAATAGAAAAATTAGCTTTCACTCCGCGGGCGCGCTAAGCGAAGTTAAACAGCTCAGCCTTTACAGAGTGGGATCAATGTATGCAATGGCGATGTGGGGTTGGAACTCGCATCAGGCCGTCGTAAATATAGGTATGGATTGAGTCAAATGATTTCAAAAACAGACATGTGACTGTGATGACGCTGAGGTTTCTCGCTTTCTGAGAGCTTGAAGAACGATAATATTATGGAAAAGATATAGCCTAGTCTGGTCTAGTCTGACTTCTGGATTGAGCGTAGGCGTGGTAGTTTCTTGGGTCGAGTTGTATTGATAGTTGGTCATCTCTTTAAAATCCTATGATCAACGCTACTTTCTGTTCGGTTCAAGGCTTCTTTGCAGGGATTTTGCTGGCCGTTGAGGGTGTTGCAAGCATGGCATTCTATGCGGGTTTCGTATCCAAACTCGGTGACTAGTGAGTTTTTGTGATCAGAACGGAACGACAGAATAACTAAAATATCACAACATTATTTGGTTAGTTTTTTCTTCTCACGAATTAAATAAACAGAATGCATGGCACTCGACGACATTGTCAACCTCTTTCGGGGATACGGTTGGAGAGATTGTGTTACCAAACGAGAATGCGGGCGCGCTCACGGAACGTAACCTGATTTCAAATGATCAGCCGTTAATCATTACTTATTTATAATTATTCGGTGATGGCCAAATCTCCTTTATTGGCGTTTTTGAACCTGCTTTTACAATTGATCCAAACCAGAACTGAATTTTAACAAATCTTTTTTTGAAACACCGGCACATTCGTCATACCTGTATCACCTGTCGTCCCGTTGATCATCGAATGCTCGAGCGGGCGCCATCAACGTCTCCATTCGTCCCTGTCGCATGCAAGAGTTGTCCAGTGGACCCTCCTCGCTCGTGGGACACGATGTCCTTCATTCCTTTCGTTCAGAGCTTTCGTGAGGAAGTCTGACCATCGGGCCGGCGGTCGTTCAGGTGTTCGTTTGACGTTCCAAGAGATCCAGTCGGTAACCGCCCTGGTCCAACGGTCATCGCAAAATCGCATAACGTGTCCGGCCCACCTTATCTTCGATTCCTTGGCGAAGACGGCAGCGTCCCTGATCTTCGATCGTTGGCGAAGACGGTAGCGTCCCTAATCTCCGATCGTCTTCTTCACTACTCCGTCGATGTTCTTGTACGCTCCCCAAGCCGCTCGTTTCCTCCTGCTCAGCTCTGGAGCTAGATCGTTCATCATATTGATTTCCCGACCTAGGTACACGTAGCTGAAGCATTCGGTGATGTTCGTTCCGTTGAGCGTGAATGGAGCATCAGGAACCAATCCGTTTTTCATAAACATCGTCTTCGTTAGGTTCAGCTGTAACCAACCTTACCACAGGCGCAGTCAAAATCAGCCAGCATTCGCTCCGCTTGCTCGATGTTCGGCCTTATAAGAACGATGTCGTCAGCAAAATGAAGGTGGTGTAGTTGCCGGCCATCGACCTTCACTCCCATGTCTTCCCATTCCAGTTGACGCATGACGTTCTCGAGAGCGGCGCTTAAGAATTTTGAACACAATTTGAAACATTGAACAGCAGTGGAAGAGTCAGATGAGGAGGCACCTTGCTTTGGTTGTAAAATTTCCAAGTGATGGAAGATTTGGATAACCACCGAAATAGGCAATAGCACCAGCAAATGGCTTTGGATTAGGCCTTTAGTCTTGAGACGCAACATTTTTGTTTCAGAACATAATGTATTGTTCCAATTTCAGTGTGTCACACGGACGTGAGCGAATTTGGACGATGATCGGCCTTGCTGCAGGTCTACTTTACCATCTTGGAACGTTCCCCTATCCAGTTGGACCAACCTTAAAATGGATCCCCGCAAGTGAGTGACAACATCAGATACCCATGCCCATGCGGAATTCAGTGTGCATTTTTCTATGCTTAACTACTTAACTCAAGAATCTAATGGAACAAGCAAGATCTACAATAGCAGTTGAAGAACCACAATAAAAAACCCAAGTAAATCTTCAAAGTTAAGTCAGGGAGAGCCAAGTTGGTAGGAGTGTAGGGTCTGTCTACACTTATGAAGGCCGCGAATTCATCCCTGCCGAGGCTTAAACCATGCCCTGCAGAAATTGCGAAAATGGTTCTAGTACCAGTGTCAGGCCCAGGTTCACAGGAAGGCTGATGAAATCCCGTCGCATGAGCCATGTCTGAAAGTCGCAAAAGTATCAATGGTAATGCTAGCAGGTCACCCCGAATCGCGCACAGGACTCCCACTCGAGCACTGTGGTCAGTATGCGAGGGCTACCATCGAGTGAACCACCGCGGTCAAAGAAGCTAGTGAACCCCTTGACAGTATAGCGATTTCCACAGAGCATCGTGTTTGTGGAATCAAACGCTTCGAGATAGTCGATGAAAGCAGTGAACAGAGGAATGCTGCATTCACCGCTTTTTTCTATAAGATTGACGACATGGATGTGGTCGACGTAGAATAAGATCTGCGGAAGCCGGCTTGTTAAACAGGCTGGTTGGTTTCCGAAGAAGTTATCATCCGCTGCCCAATGATTGAATTGAGCACTTTGTAGATCGTTGGAAGTAGAGCGACGCGACACAAATTCTTAATATTAAGAGAGTTTCCATTCTTGAATAGATGCGACACTGATGATTGGAATAAACTTGTAGGCAGCTTTTCACTTTGAGATAATCATCGAATTGGTTTGAAAATGGCTTTTCTAGTATATGATATGCTGCCAGCAACATTTCAATGGTTACGTGGACAGTCCTAGTTTTTTCCCTAACTTCATCGTTTCGATAGCATGCTCGATTCCTCTGGGCAAAATTTGTGGCACTTCCTCAAAATTCTTCATTTGTGTGAGAGTGGTGATGGCTCTCATTGTTGAAGTTAACAGTTCATTGTAGAATACTTGAACAAAAAATGCGACAGCAGTAGGCGTTTCTGCAATGGAGCCGTCATTCCTTTTAAGTCTTGTTAACGTCGTTTTGCAAATCCTCCTCTCTTGTAATACTCTACGAAGGCTGAATCCATTCGAGACAGCCTACTGTAGAGGCGGAAGATGTTTCTGCACGAGATCAGATTCCAGTGAGCGACGTAATATAATAATTTATTGACCATGGAGAATTCGATTGTATTTCTTACTGGGTGCTGCTGCAGAAGGAGACGTAATTTTTCAAATAGTTCCCTTGTAGTTTCAGAAAAGTGGAACCTTTTCGGAACTTTCGATCTAGCAGTATCAGGGACCGCTTTTATTTCACTTTTCAAGTCTTCGTAATTGTCAAAAACAATTGGAAACAAGGCGGTCTAGAGTTGCGGAGAAGACAAACTTATTGAAGTTCGTAGTGATTTAGACTTTCCTGGAAATCGATGATGTTTGCTTTCTGGACGAATATTAGCCATAACAAGTCGATGATCACTAACGAATTTGAACCGTCGATGATATCAACGTCTAAGAATATGGATTCGCCGGATGATAAAACGAAATCAATAGCATTCTTGGTCTGCATGTTGGGTGAAGTCCACATCCATTTTCTGGATTTCCTCTTCTTGAAATGATTGTTCTCATGGTGTTCAATTTCAGAACATTTAGATTTTGGCATTAAAATCGCCTACTACAACTCTGCTCGGGTTTTGTTTTCTACGTGGAGGAGTTGAAGTTTAGTAGTGAAAGCGTGCACCAAGAGCTTGAGAAATCTGTTCGAAGAATTCTTGATATTCACTATCCGATTACGCAGTGGTTGGTGCATACTCTTGAACAACTCGATTTCTGCCTTCCGTGGTGACATCAACATACATGGAATGAACAAAATTTTGTCCACTTTTCGTTGATCAGGAATCCTGTAGAACTTGCAAAGTTGCTTGTGTGGTCAAATTTGAAGAGGTTCAAGGATATGCTCTCTCTTTTCTGCGTACCAGAAAGACCAACCATGTCAAATGGTCACCCTGTAATGGCGTCTTCAAGTTCAGCTAGTCTTGCACCCGTTCCCAGAGTTCGGCAGTTGATGGTTCCAATCCGGAGGCGAATCATATTGGACTATAAGTCTTGCTATAGGTAATGCTATACGGCAGCGAGAGCTGACCCGTTAACAAGAATCATAAGAGGCAACTTCATCTGGTGAGAACAGCTATGGACCTCCATGTGCAAGGCAAGCGACCGCAAGGAGCCCCAAAGAAAAGGTGTAGGGAAATCAAGAAGGACTTGTGTGCGATCAAGGCCACAGAAGAAGATGCCATGGACAGAGCAAAGGGACAGAGCAAAGAGGCGATGGCTGACAAGGCAGCGGATCCTGCGACTGCGAGGGCCTAACGCTAGTTAGAAGGGAGGAATAAGAATGGGAAGTTATCTTGAGATCTATAGAATAGGTTTCTAGAATTCTTCATCACAAGTAAATAGATACAAACACACGATATAGGAGCACATTCGGAAACCGCAGAACCATTATTCAATTTTTAACGGTCCCTGGACAACAAGAGAGGATGATGTGGTCTGTTTTACGAAATCCTCGTGGCGACAAAGTTTCGCATTTCGAGACTTTCCAGAACCTGTGTAATGGAGCGTAGTACTCGCACTGCAACTGGATAACCCTATCATCAAAGCGCGAAAGGAAATTGAAATTCGATCCATTCCCTTACAACTGGACTATGGGCTCTTTCTGGCAATCACATCATCTCGTCACCATGAAGCCAGTTGGCGCCATTCTAATGATGTTTTGGTGTCGCAGCATTCTGCATCAGTTTCCGGATGGAGATTACTTGGAAACGTCACTATTTATCGGACCCACTCAATAACCCGTCAGGGTCAGAGGCGGACGACTTCTAGGCGAACCCCTTTTCATCCTCTGCAAGAGATGAGAAAGCCCTATTCAGAAGAGTTACTAAGAGCATGTACTATGCTAGGTCATTACTTCTCCTCGTCGGCAAACAGTGGCAGGTTGCGTTCTCAGCCTTGTCAATTGCCAGGCGTATTATAAGACGATCGGTTCATAAAAGCACGCGGTGTAGGCGTCTCCTACGGGAGGAGAACACCTGTTTCTGTATTAATCATTAGGACGTGTGCATAATTTCCTACGCGAGCTCAGTTCCAAGCCGTACGGGAACGCATGATAGGTTCTCTGGTCTGGTCCAATTTTTCGAAGTTATGTCAAAATCTATTTCAGAAGAATACTGGGTTGTGAACAAAACTTCCGCCCACGGCGGGACTGGAACGCGCACCTCTCGCTTTCCGGGCAAGTGCAGTATACGCTACCGGGGCACCATTTCATTCCAACGCAACTTTTCATGGTATACGTACCATAGCTTTCAGCACTCACACGTGTAATGTGTTGAGCCGGTTAGCCGATATCGGCAATGACCGCGAGGCTGAAAGCTTTAGCGATGAACTTTGACTTGTTTTGTTTGTTAACTGCTGATTTGACGCCGCATTTCGCGTTGTGAATGTTTCACAAAAATACTGGCGGAGCACGCTCACAGGGCGTGCGTCGAAGTGAGTGGTACTGAAGGCCGGGATTTCAGAAACTATACCAAAACAGCATCGAAACCGGGTGAAAACGTAGTTAAAGGAATCTTCCACGGACCATGGACCAGTGGGCGGGACCGGAAGTGGTTTTGCGACAAAATCATGGTAGGTACGGATTCACGTTCATGGGAAGGTTCGAAGTGAATCCTGTTCACGTTCGTGCGCTCGACACGTGGATCCGTACCTACCATGCATTTCATCACAAAATTCTCCGGTCCCGCCCACTGGGCCATGGTCCGTGGAAGATTCCTTTAAGGTGTGCATTGATAGGTCAGATCGAAATACGGAGGCACACCCACTGTGGGCGGGGCGTTCTCCAAAAAAGCAGAGCTCAATAAAAAAATTGATAATTCGGTTTGGAGAAACCCTAAAGAGCAGAAAACAAATTGGTATAGGATAGCAATGTGTAATGTGCTCCCAGCACGCATGACGTGATCGGAGGCCCACCTACAGTGGGCGCAGTGTGTCCTGAACTGGATAACGTTTTCTCGTGATTCGGTCCTCATGATTCGGTTCAAAGGAGTCTTAGAGGAAAATGTAGGATAGGGTTCGGAGAAGGAGTAGGTTAAAAGTCACTGATGGGCCGATTGTGGCCAAAGTGGGCGGAGTTCGCAATGAAAATTCATAGCACGGTTCCAAGGAGTCCTGGGGAGCGGGAAAGAAGTTGATTGAGTTTGTCAATGGAAGGGAGGTCAATTATCAACGCTGGGTGGGGTGTGCATTAAAGGGGGCGGAGTTTGCGACGAACATTCATAACTTGGTTCCAAGAAGTTTTGGAGATCGGGAAAAATGTGGACTGGGTCCATCAATGGAAGTGAGGTCAACTTCTATTTGTGGATGGAGCGTGCGCCAAAGCGGGCGGAGTTATCCACAAAACTTTGTAACTCTGCTCCAAGAAGCCCTGGAGACTGGGAAAAAGTGGATAGAGGTGGGTGCAGGAGTGGAACCCAACCGCTATTGGTGGGCGGGGCAGCTCCAAAAGGGGCGGAGTTATCCATGAAACTTTCTAACTCGGCTCCGAGAAGTCCCGGAGACAGGGAAAAAGTGAATTGGGTTTGACAGCGGATGGCAGCTGCTATTGGTGGGTGGGGCGTGCATTGAAGTAGGCGGAATTTATCACGTGATAATACAGATTATTTCTAAAGAGAGTCCGGAGGCTGGGAAGTGGATAAAGGTTGGCGAAGGAATGGGGCCAAATGCTGTTGGCTGGCGCCACCGAGGATTGACGAAGTTTCCCACGGTGGACTACAAATATATCAATGGCCCTGTTTCATACCAATGCAGTCCCGTGTGATGCACGCGAATGCGTGCGCAGCCAAACTCATATTTGATAAAAGTCAGCTTGCAAGCTTTTCTGGTGGCCTTGCCTACAAAGACGACATCTCCTCTTGGCGCAGACGCCATTTTTCAACAATATGGCAACCCCGGCTCAGAATGGAAAATGTCGCCACCCCGGGGATCGTGATTGTAACCGCTTCGATCGCTAACAAAGTCCTTGACGGGTTCACGTAGCAGTTTTGATCTTCACATTTGCAACCACCGTTCCAGGCTCTGTATCGATTTATCTATGTCCCATATCAAAGTTTCATGGGAATTCCAGACATTCCCCTGGTTAGTGTAAACAGCTACCACGCTTTAGATGTTGGGATTTAGCGGTTGAATGACTTCTCATTCCGGCGTCATTGAAACAATCATACAGTACTCATCATATTTCTACAAACACTGACCATCTCGAAACGCTCAAGCAAATTATCGGTTGAGTGGGTCTCGATGCTGACGTCAACATCGCAAACGGAATAGAACATTTTCCTAATCGCGAATCTGGTTAACAACTTCAGTGACCTCTCCGTTTTCAAGTTAATGGATTGTAGTTCTTATCACTTTTGTCACCCACCAAATATTAGGTTGTGAGGAAAGTTCTTGCCCTTTCCAGTAGTTCAAGTTTCAGGACATTACTTCTGACTAAATTCTTGACGAACTGCTACAAATTGCATATTGTTAGAAAGTGCAGCTATTGCTTTATCAAGAGTGTCTGTGGAGCATGATTTTCTTCCTCTAATTCAAAAAAAGGCAGAAAGGAGCGGAATCAACTAGAGACGTGAACTGTTCGTTAAATTGCATGTACGAAAATCATGCCGTACATCACTAGTTTGGAAAGCTGGTGTAGGAATGGCAAAAGCCTCGAAAGTGGTGAGGGTGGTCGTGAACATTGTAAAAATTAGCTGAAACATTTGGTAGAATCGAATGTACGCATAAGTGTTGGAAAAGCCTCTACTACGATAAATTAAGTATAGCTGTTCCTCTGTTCAGGCCACATGGGATAGGTTGAAAAGCCCGGAAAAGTCAGTGGGGTGAGCCGCGAAAAATCACAGTTCCGTCGAGCCGTGTGCCCTTTCTTCCCTCTTTTACTCAATGATCATTTGATGACAACTACCCGTTTTCCAGCCGGGATCACTTCTTTATATAAACAGCAACCTTGGTGTGTCGTTTCGTTTGTGCAAGTATTCGTGTACAAGTTTGTAAGTCTGTCCGTCCGAAGTAAGTGAAGGCAGCTAATGGAGTAAGCAGGCCACCAGCAAAACTTAGTAGCTCGCAGGGCTTGCCCTGCAATGGTATGATTGGATAACACCCCAATGGCATAAACACCTGCGTAGCACACTTCCGATCATTCCACGATGTGCTGCAGTGGCAGCTCGAGAGCAAAGGAGGGAGGAGGATAGGATAGGGAGAGGAGGACGAACGCAAAGCCGCAGCATGAGAAACGCCCGTGATGCGGCAGTTTTCTTCGCCTTCGTGACATTTCCCGCTCATTGTCGCGAAGAGCGCGCCAAGAGACTCGAGATGAGCCGGAAACTGCCACTGCGTCTAGTATTTAAAACGTCAAGTACCAAATAAATATCATTTATTCTAGCTAATGAATCATCATCCTTTCCTTGTGCAAGAAAAAATTAACAATCAACTTTCACTGGAGATGAGGTCACTCGCTGTTTCGACTCGCAACTGCCCACACTTTGAAGAAGGGACATTAAGAAGTTACCTGAGCGTTGGAATCAGATAGTGGATGAGCATGGCGAATATACACTC